TTATTATTAACAAAAGATGAAATACGTATATACACTTTCCGACACTAATTTTAGAAGAGAATAATCTATTCTAGGATAGTATTATAATCATACAAAAAGATACAAGAATCATTACGGATTGGGGATGTGATTCATCATTGATGATGATGATTCTATTCATAATTGATGATGATGATTTTGTACTGATGATGGTGATTGTGTGTTGATCTTATCATTATGTAATGTCAGAATTAAAGGGTTGTTTGTTTACCTCTTAATAGTTTCATTAAGAGACAATATCTGAATCGTTAATAGGTGAATCTTGTTTGGTAAAAAAAAGTCTGTCTCTTAATGGTTATAAAATTCTCTGAATTATTTTGTATCTTGCGTCTCCCTTAACCATTCAACGCCCTAATTTCATCGTAAATAATTACCAAACAATTACATTTCATTTTGCACTATATCATAAAAGTCTCTTAATCATTCTGACCACTTAATTATTATGCACTAAACTCTTCAGCAACTACCAAACAGTCTCAAGTAATTTTTCAACATGTCATTTTAGGCCATGTTACATTTGTTATCTAACTTATCAAATAGTTTTTTTTTTATCAAATGTGATTAGTTTATCAACTGATAACTAGTTCATCAACCAACAATTACTTTTTCAATCAACACTTACCTTATGAGCTACTTTGCAAAATACAGTCTAATTACCAAGTTATGTATTAAGCTCTGGTTAATTTTTCTGTATGGCTTATGACTGAGAAATACCCAACATGTAAACGATTCATTTGTTATGTAACATCAAAACAGCGATGACAGTTAGCACACAGTAGCATTTGCAATAACTGGTATAGTAATCTTGTTTTCAACTACTTATAATGAAACTGTTACTTTTGAAACTAAAGGGTTAATGCGTTGTTTTTAATATCCCGGTTGATTTAGTACAAAATAATTGAGTTGTCAAAATGATTAAGCAAATATATATGACTTAAATACATAATAAAAATGATCATTTAATAAACATTTCAAATGAACAGTTGAACGACATAAATCATCATCTTATCATTTCAATTTAAGGGTTGTTTGACAGTTGTTGATTGATTTGGTGCAGAATGATTAAGTGATCAGAATAATTAATAGACTCTCATGATATAGTACAAAATGAAATATAATTGTTTGATAATTATTTACAACGAAATTTGGGAGCCGAATGGTTAAGGAAAACCTATGATACAAAATCATTTAGAGAATTTTAGAATCATTAAGAGGCAGAATTTTTTTGTCAAACAAGATTTACATCTTAATGATTCAGATAAACAAATTACCCCTAAGACTTTGATAAATTTATCTATTTATACATTAACATTTAGTTTTAATTTATAATTTTTTTTACTTTTATTTTGTCTA